CGCTGTTTCTAGCCGTGACCTGTCTGCCAGGAGGAACCAGATGAGCCTGTTTTCCCCTCCCGGCCCCCCGACGCTCCTCGGGTCAGACCCGGCAGCAGGCAACGCCGAATTTAGCCTCCTGCTTGACCCAGCCATCGCTCGGGGCAGCCAGAAACCCATGGAGCAGGAGCGGGGTGCTGCAGGAATGGGGTGCCACCGAAACGGGATGCCACCGAAACGGGATGCCACCTCCGCTCCTACCTCAGCTTCCCGATGAAGTTCTCTCCCCCCCGTGACAGGTCGGTGGGGTCAATGGAGATGAGGTAGTTGGAGGTTTTGCTCTTCTTACGCTTCCTCCCGGCGAGGAGAAACACCTGGGAGGGCGGTGGGACCGTGTGGGGACGGGGCACTGTCACAGCCATCGCCACCGCCGTCCCCGGCTCACCGTCCCGGTGTGCCCTCCACGCAAGGCTTGGCCCAACAGGTCACTGCCACGACCTCGAGCAAGCCACGGACTGAAGACGATCCCCAAAATACAGGCTGACACGTGGGGTGGGAGGCTCTGAGCCCAGCCCAGCGTGAGCGTGGCTCTCCAGCCGCCGTTTGCTCAGCATCCCAGGTACCATCGACACGGGGCATTTCCCAAGAGGAATTGCAGGGGAGGGGAGCAGCCCCATCCAGGACCCACCACAGCGGTGGGATGAAGGCAGGCATCCCCCCAAAAACCCTCAGGGTGCTCCCCGGGGTGGGTGCGAGAGCCCCAGGGGTCTCCGTGCCCCCACCCAAGCTCACCTTCTTGTCGTTATCCAAGTGGAGGTAGTAGGTGGGGTAAAGCCCCCGGTCCATCCCCTTCTTGTCCCGCGTCACTCGGCACTTGATGGTCACCCCCTGCGGCGCCGGCCGCAGCACGAACTCCTCCAGGTTGTCCACCTCGACGACGGGCGACGGGGGCCTCTCCTCCTTCGGCTGCAACACGAGAGGGGATGGGTGACCCCAAAGCCAAACCTGCCAAAAGCTCACCTCCTTTCCCAGCTAACTGCTCCTTGCTCCCGAGCCCTGCCGGGAGCTGGGGCTCTGGGGACAGCGCTGCCGTGGGTCTCCTTGGGGGATGCTCCAGCCCCCTGACCCGCCCTGGGGGGAACAGCTGCCCCACCTTGAGGAACCCCCATGGCTCTGAGGGGGTTTTTGTACCTTCTTTGATTTCTTCCCTTTCCCCTTCTTGTTGGAGTTTTTCTGTGGGGTCTCCGGGGTCTCCTCTTCACTCTCGGCCACTTTGGGAGGAGCTGCAGGCAGGCACGGGGCAGGGGGGAGTAGCCTGGCGCTGCCGAACCCCAAACCCGAGCTCAGCATAGACCCACACCAACACCATTGATCATAACCCCCCTCTCCACGGCCAGGCTCACCCGCACCCCCACGAGCTCCTCCAGCACCCACCACCCTCATCGCATCGCCAGTGCCGGGCTCTCACCTTTCTTTTTGGTTTTTTTCTCCTTGGGGGGGTCCCCACCAGTCTGGAAGAGGGACACGGGGTTTTTCTTCTTCTCCGACCTGATGGGTTTGGTGCTGGAGTCGGAATCATCCTCCTCATCGCTGCCGGTGGTGGCGGCGCGGGGGACACAGGGGACAGCGTCAGGCAGCACCGGGTGTTGTCGGCTCAGGGTGATGCCATGGGGCAG